TAATTAAAGGAATTAAGTATTTTTTTACTTACTTAATTTTTATTATAATTTAAATATTTATTTATTTTCAAATTCTGAATGCACGGAATTTATCCAATTTTTTTTACAATGAAACAATTTTAATACATATAGTTTTTTTTTAATAGTTTACAATTATTAATTTTTTTTAAAAAAAATAAATTCATTATTTCAAATAAATGCATTATTGTTTTTTTTTAAAAATTTCTATATGTATATTATTAATTGAGATTATATATACATAATTTTTTTATATAAATAATTTTTTTATAAAAGAAAATTATTAATAAAAATTTTTATTCATATATAAATTAAAAATATTTAATAATATTTATAAAATAAATACAACCCCTTATAATACAATATTAATTTTTTTATTATCTTTTTTATTTTATTTTTAATAAAATAAAATATAAGAGATTAATTAAATTATATTTTGATAGATATATTAAAATAATATATTTTATTTAAAATAATAATATATTTAAAAAAAAAATATTGTATAAAATTATATTTCTCTTTGATATATATAATAAAGATATATCTTTATAAAATTATAAGTAGTCCTAGTTATAAATATTATCTTATTTTAAATATCTTATAAAATAAATATTTTATTTTTTTTAACAAATAATTTTAATGTTATAAATATTAATAGTGTAAATTATATGGCAACAATAAATTGAGTATTTAGTAAAATATATTTATAAAATTTATAATTATATTAATTTAAATATCAAGTAATTTTTTATTAATATATTATTTTATTTATACAATAGGTGATATAATGCAGAATAATTCGTAATTATTAAAAATATGACAAAACCATAAATAAATAATTTAATTTAATAATAGAATACAAATATAATTTTTATTTGAATTTAATATTTTCTTAAAATCTAAAATTATTATTATTTTTCTTATTTTATATCTTATGACTTAATTTTAATAATTTTTAAAAAGAAATTAATTTATTTATGATAACTATATGTTAATTATATAAACATATTTGTTTAATAATTTTAATAAGAAATAAAGATTAAAAGTTAATTTTTAATTAATAAAGTGAAAAGAATTATAAAAATAAAAATAAGATTTTAACATATTTTTATATTTTGATTTTCGAATAATTACATTTTAATATTAGAAAATCGTAAATTATAATTTTGATATTTATAATTGAATATAATTATTTATATATACAATTTAATCTATAAAATATAATAGTATTTATATTTTGTATAATAATAATACAATAGTATATTTAATTAAATATTTTTTAAAATATATTATATATATATATTTTTTTCTTAATGGATAATTATATATTTAAATTAATAATAATTATTTATGTATTAAAATATTTAAAGAACTGTCACCTGATTATTAATTCGAATATTTTTTATCATTTAATTATTTATTTTTTTAAAAATCTTATTTAGTATATTAATAGTCTTATAATTAATTTATAAAAGGAATATTTTTAAGTTATTAATATAAGAATTTTATTTCTTAATTAAATTCTTATCATGTATTTTTTTTTATAAGAATTAAAAAAAATAGTCTATTTTAAAATATCACGGTATAAAAATAAAATATTTATATATTTAAAATAAAATAAATCTAAATTAGAAAAATACAATATTATATTTTTTATTTTAAAAAGAATATATTTCTAAATATTATAAAATAAAGAAAAAGTTTAAAAATGAATAATTAACTAAATTTTTTATAATAATAACAAAATTTCTAACCTTAATAATCTCAAATTATATTTTTTTCTAACCCTAATAAACAAGTCAAATAAATGAACTATTTTCCTTTTAATTAAGATTAATTTAATAACTATAACTATTAAAAAATAAATACCCTTTATTAGTATTAAAGTAATATGAGCTTGTAATAATATTACTAATAATATTATTTATAATAATAATATTAAAGGTCTAATCCGAATTATAATTATGGTTATACTGATTAAACATTTTATTTGGATAACATCTAATAAAACAAATAAATCTAATAACAATGTTTATAGTAATAAAATTCTTACAAATAAAATGAAATAATAAATCATATAGATAAATATGAAAAATAAATGAATTAAAATTAATAAAACTACTATTCCTTTGAAAACAATCTAAGATTTTATAATTAATTGAATAACCAATAGTTGGAAGCAAAAACATTATAAAATTAAAGTAATAATAAATAAGAATAAGAACTACAAGTATAAGAAAAACAAAATATAATAATCAAAAAAAAGGGAAAAGAAAATATAATTTTGATAATAATAATTGCTAAGCCACTACTATAGGAAACATTATAAAAAATATATTAAATTCTTTTTATAAATATTTAAAATAAAATAAATTAAATAAAAACGAAATTTCTTTGTTGAGACTATTCTAAAGAAATACAATATGTAACTATTTTTTTATTAAAATATATAATAACTCTAAATATTATACTATATTGATGGAATTTATTGAAAAATTTAAAAACTAGTTAATCTATTAAACTGAAATTTAAAATATTTAAGACCATATAAATCTAATATAAAAAATTTAAGAAGGAGATTTAAGCAAAATCAATACAATGTAGACTAAATTATTAAAAAATTTAAATAAATATTAAAAAATGAATTAATAATGTGAAAAAGATTAATGAAAATTTTATATAAAATATTAAAAAAAAAATATTAAAATCATATGTGTAGTTCAATAAATAGTTTAAAAAAAAATTAATATATATAATTTTTAAAAATATTTATTATATAAAAATGATATTTAATAAATTGTTATTAAATATTAAATAATAATAAGTGTATATTTAATATAATAAATAAAAAAAACTAATTAAAATTTTAATTAAAATAAATATCAAAGAAATATAATTTTATTAAAATAAATATAATCATAAGATATAAAATATATATACATATATTTTTTAAAAAATACTAAATATAAGAATAATTAATTTCTTATAGGTAAAAATATTAAATATATATATTATAATAAATATATAAATTCTATAAATATATTTATATATACATAAAGATATAAATATTTATAAATAT